GATCAGGTCCCTCTGCATGGCCTGGAAGAGGGAGATCTGCTCCCCGGAGTAGGGGTCCGTGTAGCCCGTGACCGCCCGCTCGGCAGACAGCAGCTTCTCCTGGACCTCGCCCCCCACCACGCCCTCTGCCACGGCCTCCTCCACAGACAGCCTGCGGTTGTGCACCGGGTCGATGATGAAGCCGGTGGCCGCCTGGGCCTCCAGCAGCACCAGGGCCGTGCCAGGCCTCAGCACGCCCTTCCACATGGCCTGATAGATGCTCATCTTCTCCTGGCGCCCGGGCTCTCCCTGCACGGGCACCAGGACGCCCGCAATGCAGCTGGTGCCCTCCAGGTAGCGCTTGACAGAGTCCATCTCTGTCACCTCCCGCAGGCTCTTGATCCCCTGGGCCAGATCCCGCAGGGTCTCGGGGTCTAGGATCCCGGACGTGTGCAGCTCAGAGGCCGTCACCTGGCGCCTCAGGCCACGGAAAGACACCTTGCTGAGCCCTTCTTCTGGCTCCTGGATGAGCCGGGTGAGGATGGAGATGAGCTGGTCCAGGCCCAGGGTGCCGGCCAAGTGGCTGGCCAGCAGCTCCTCGCGGCGGGTCTGGCTCAGGTAGGAGGAGAACAGCACCTTCCACACGGAAACCGGCTGGTCCCGGAACTGTCCTTGCTGGACCTGCATGGTGGCGGCTCGCAGAGCCTGCTCCTGCTGCTGCCTGGCCCTCTCAGCGTCCTCCTGGACCTCGCCCTTGTCTGGGACGGTCCCCGAGCTCCCGGCCCCAGGCTCCTGTTGGTCCAGGGAGGGGACGCTCGGCTTTGGCTTGGACTCCTGCGTGTCCTCGGCCTCCTGCGTGTCCTCGGCCTCCTCCATGATGGTGGTCAGCCTTCTCCTCAGCATGGGCAGAGTCAGCGTCCCAGAGCTGAACTGGGCCAGCAGCTCCTCCCGGGTGGCCCCGCTCACATAGCTGGATGCCAGGACGTCCCACACGGGGACCTCTCGTCCCCGGAGAGGCCCCGTTTTGACCTGCATGGTGGCCTTGCCCAGGGCCTCCCGGGCATCCACTCGTGGGCTGCCGTCCTTGGCCCGGGCCAGCAGCGAGGTGAGGGTGGCGCTCAGGTCCTGAACGGTCAGCCCGCCAGCTTGGTAGCGACGCAGCAGGTCCTGGCGCAGGCTCTCGGGCACCTCGCGGTAGAAGAGGAGCTCCCACACGGAGATGCTCTGGCCCTGGAAGTCGCCTGAGCCTGGGGTCACACGCGCCTCCCGAAGGGCGCGCCTCAGCTCCTGGCTCAGCTGGTGCACGCTGGAGCCCTTTCCTGCCAGCTGCAGCATGTACAGCCCAGTGTCCGGGTCCCGCACACAGCGGCGCAGCAGCTGCAGGTAGGTGAGGTTCTCGTGCGTGTTGGGGTCAAAGAAGCCCTTGGTGTCATCCCCGGGGTCGGCCAGGATGCCGTTCATCTCCTCATCAAAGTAGCCACGTTGGTAGGCCACGTCCACGGGCACACGGTGGCTATGGACTGGGTCAATTACACCACCCGTGGCAATCTGGGCCTCCAGGAGGCGGATGCCATGGTTCTTGACGATCAGGTCCCTCTGCATGGCCTGGAAGAGGGAGATCTGCTCCCCGG